TAAGATATAACTAAGAATCATGCACTGCAAACCAAGCAGCCCACACAGCCACCATCGTCCATTAACATTTTCAAATCCATTCCTCTAACTGCCCTCTTAAAACCCTCTAGTGAATTCAACGTCCTAATACGGGAAGGTAGCTTAGCCCATAGCACAGGTCCTAAATACCTAAGGGAATGCCTGCCATAATTAATAGAGTTAAATCTTGGAATTTAAAAGCAGACACAACCCACAATTCCACTATTCGCTCCGACGAAGGGCTAACGCTCGAAACGTCAGCTTTTATAATCGTAACGGTGGCCAATTTACCATTTCAACTTTGTTGATACATTCAAATTATTTCGTTACCCCCACCGACGCAGCCCCAAACAGTTTCTTTAGAAACTATCAGCCTTTTTAGCATTATTTATAGTTGTCATGTATTCGTAGATGCGAAACAATATCACTTAGTCTCGTTTTCAACTCGCAATTCCACGCTGAATAACCCGCTTTGTTAGCCAATCAGAATGCGAGATGTTATTCGATGATGTGATTCTTTACTGAACTACTTTCAATATCGTTCATTGAGCTTACTTTATTCGGGTGTTTAGAATCCAGACATACTTCTTTCCATCCTGCCAACTATGCCACAATGTACGTCAATACATAGTCAGCTCGTCAAGTAGCTAGCCTGCTACTCTACTATAACAAGTAAATGACATTTAATTAATGTATGTTGATACAATATTCTGTCTTTGCTGACGGTGTAGGTTCTGCCATGGCTGTGTCATTAAATGCAGTGAGCAGGAGTTTGGCAATAGCAGTTCATACATAGCTATAGAGTGGGATCCAACCACACTGCATCTTAGGTACCAGAGCTCACAGGAAAAGGTGTCAAAAGAACACGAGAGTGTGGAGAGAAGCAGGAAACTGCAGACAGAACCTATTGACTTGTATGAATGTTTCAGAGCATTTACTAAAGAAGAAGAGTTAGGGGAAGATGAGCTGTGGTATGTACATGTCTGTGAAATTTTGACAAAGAGAAATTGTCTCAACTATAATAACAAAGAGCTATTTTGCTTCAAGGATTCTTGGGCTGAAAGCAACAAAGTTTAATAATCTGTGTGTGTGTGTTGAGTAAATTTACCAGGGCTTGTCTTTGGGGGGGGGGGGGACTGGAAGTAAGTATCTCGACTGAACAACACCCCCATCACGGATGACCAATTTAAAACATTTGACTAACCAACAGCTCTCCGCTTGACTTTACTGAGGACTTCTGATCAGTTTGTCAAAATTCTAGTCACTTTCACTAGTTACTCTTACCAATAAAGCACGCGACAGTATGGGCTATCATCTTCCTTCACATATTTCCTTTCGCATCCCTTTCTATGGAAACCACTTCTTTAAAACTCTGTCTAAACCATTCCACCCAGGTATTGCAACAACTGTAAGAAACACAGACTAGCGGTGAAGAAACTTGATATCTGGAGTCTCCCACCAATTTTGGTAAGAATTTAGTTGTGCTATGGTTATTTTGTGTAGCAGTCCAAACTGGTAACTCAAATGACAAAAGATCTCTACGTGGTGCTTGAGTGTGTTTTTTTTCTTTTTTTCTGAGAAGGGATCTTCTTTCTATTAATGTCCTAGACGTTGTTGAAGTTGCTGATCCTAGCCGTCTGCATCTTTTAACTACTGTCCACTTATGTTGTCTGATTTGGTTCTTTAGATTATCCACTTGAAGCGGTTTCAGTTTGTGAATGGGCACTGGGTTAAGTCTAATAAAGTTGTACAGTTTCCCATGGAAGGGTTTGACCCTTCAGCCTTCTTGGCCAAGCGATTTGTTCGCCCAAACAGCGCAGGGAACTCAGAGACAGGAGTCACTACAGTGAGTGTCAAGAGCAGCGAGGATCCTGAACCCGAGGAGGAGCCTGGAGACAAGAAAGAGGAAGCGTCCTGCAAGGGTAGCGAGGTGAGGCTATTTTGTAGGGTTGTGTACATGGTGGTTCTGAAGTCAGTGTCACAGTGTTGGTCACATAACTTGTTTTATTATCCAATTATGCTTCGTAGAGTACAAATAACGCACGAGAAGAGTACAAATATCACGTGATATTTGTACACCAGAAATATCCACGAAATTCGCCGCACTGAAATAACAATTTGGCGTGTTGGATAATAAATCTCTTATTAGACGTTTTGTTGTGTAGTATCGCTGAGTATTTTTACGAGTTGTGCCATATTGTGCCCGCAGGGCGAGTCAAAATACGCCACAACTCCTAAAAATACTCAGCGATACTACACAAAAAAACCTCTAATAAGATATATTTATTAATACGGTATATTTTAAAATGATTTGGATATATCAACAAAGTTGAAATGGTAAACTGGCCACCGTAACGATTACAAAAGCTGACGTTTCAAGCGTTAGCCCTTCGTCGGAGGACTAACGCTCGAAACGTCAGCTTTTGTAATCGTTACGGTGGCCAATTTACCATTTCAACTTTGTTGATATATCCAAATTATTTCGTTGCTCCCACCGACGCAGCCCCAAACAGTTTCTTTCGAAACTATCAGCCTTTATTCATTTATATTTTAAAATGACCTCAGAAGTGATACCCTATTTTTCACTGAACATCTATCAACTTGTACAAACAACTTTAAGAAGGGGACAAGAGGATAGTATTTATTTTATCGATTCATTGCCGTTGAAGTGAAATTTTTTATAGTGTCTCAGTCAATTTTGCATGTGGTTGTGAGGGTTACACATGGTTCATGGCTGCTTACACTTTGAAGAGGCTTTGAACTCTTTCTGTAGAATCTTACCCAGAATTCGTACTTCAATATTCTTCAAGTCTTACACAGTAGTTTCTTTTAAAAGTGACACCAACAGAACTGAGGTTTACTCCATGAAATATATCCTAACAGGAGTCGTCTTCCCAGAGCTCATCTGGGGAACTGAGTTCCAGTCAGGTTGAACTAAACCAGACTAGCAAACCTCCCTCGCGCCAGTCCTCCTGTATAAGCCTCAACTCAGCCAAAGTCCACCCTGAAGTGATGCTGGAAATGAAGCCTGTTGGAGATGCCACCGGAAATGGAACGAACTCTGACGTCACGGAGCTAAATTCTGCAGACGAACGGAGAAGTGAAAGTGGTAGCATGGCGGCGCTAAGGAGTGAAGGTTCCCAGACAGAGACACCAACCTATTGTATATATGCAATGTCGGTATGTTTTCTTCAGTCTTGTATTTCCTAGGCTTTCCAGATACTGGTTGGGCGCTGTTAATAACGGAGCTACATGGCCACATGTTGAGATCGAAGAACGGTTTTTAAATACCCGCAATAGAATCTGACCACATACAACATAAATGCATCGAGTGTACATCTCAAATATTTAATTAGGTTAAACGAGAAACGCCTTGAGAATGCGTTTGGTATGTTTCAAACGCGTCACATTAGTCTGGAACGTCGTGTCTCATTAACGTTTGCTTTGTATCCTCAGTGCCACACTGGAGTACTGGGAGGAGGACACTACATTTCGTACGCGCACAACCCAAACAACAGATGGTACTGCTACAACGACAGTAGCTGCAAGGTTAGTTGAGAGTATAACTACGGAGGAAGAAAAGAAGAACAACTTTAAACTGAGAACAGAAGCTGTGATACAAAAAAAATGGCATAAACTTTGAGAATTTTTTCCATCTGCTTTCTTTTTCCTCCAAAGGTGGAAAGATAATCATGAGAATTTCAGACGTATGTAATGTAGTGAACGCGTATGAATCCAGAAAGAGCGGATTCCTTGTTTATACCGTGACCACTGAGATAGTTATCTGTTGTTCCAGGAATGTGACAGCACCAAGCTACAAAAAGACTCACCCTACATGCTGTTTTATCAGCAAGATGGCATGGACGAACGAGCATTTCTTCCTAACTTCAGTGGCCAAACACCAGATTCTGCAAGTGACGATGAGGAATACGAAAATGACGTGAAAAAACTTTGCATCTTGCAGTAAAATCCTAAAATATTCCACACAGGAACAAAACTAATTTAAATACAATTTTTGTATGGAAACTTTAATGGGATGAATACTTACGCAAATGTAAATTATCTAAAATGCTGTACATATATCAACATAGAAATTTTATTTTTAAATTCCCCCCTTTATCACAGAAATTAGGAAAGGAATAATATTAGTGAGTGTACCCGACCCATTATTTGTTTGTGTGCTTTAACTCCTTCAAGATTGTGTTCCAGTAATGAAATTGAAATAATTCTCAAAACTTAGCAGTGCAGCAAAATTGACAAGAGAAAGCAAGATTATTCATAGCTACGCTGTAAAGAAAGTTTTGGGGAATCTTGGCTTTGAGATTTTTTCTATCGAAAGTCATTAAACCAAAGTAATCCTAATAGCCCATCAAGATAATGGGAAATTTAATGAAAAGCCAATGATAATTCAAAGTATTAAATGGGCAAACTGCACGAAGAGCGGAAAATGCAAGTGACAAAGTCGTTTGCTCTAAGAATCACATTTCTTAAAAGACCGTTTTGGACATAGAAAGCTATTTTGTTTTCTTTTTTTGTTCATTTTTTGCGAAGTCTTAGTGACGTTATTATCTAGTTCACTACAGCCATTGTGTCACTTGAAAGACTGGAGAGATTTTAAAAGTTGTCCAAAGCAGTCGGGGGGACTTGTGTAATACAATTTATCTTGCACCAAGTACCAAAGCGTGGAAGTCGTTACTGTCATAATAAGCAGTCTGTGGCAGATGATATTTTCCCCTTTCCTTCTAATCTACCTCCATAGTTTTTTGTTACAATCCGTGTGACGTGTTTCCTGTTGATAATATTCATTAAACCTCTCGTCGTACGTTTGTACATCATTGTCAGAACCCTCTTGTTTCTGCATAGAAGCAAAAGTAATTAGAAATAGAGTACTCTTAAGACAATAAAACATTCTTTTGTAATTTTGCTGTTTGATTTCGTATACATACAATTTAGTTTCACAAAATTCTCCTACTTTCTAGCTCCACAGCATACTGCAAAGTGGGCTAAAATCCCATTTTGGGGGGAATCTTAAGAAATACAGAATGCTATGCTAGAACAATGACTTATGTGAGCATGGCTTTTCAGGTCCCAGGTTACATTGGTCACTTTTGCTCAGAGAGGAAACCATTTATTATATATGTTCTGTACTTACTGACTGATTGGGAGGGCTAGACAGGAAAATATTTGGTTCATGATGTACAGACCAAGCACAGCAATGCCCATGTCATCACTGAGAGCCACACTACCTTGTCTGGCCCGACTAACTCAGTCAACAAGCATTTTATCATATGACAACTTAGAGATGGAAATCCCCAAAAGATAAATATAAATATTAATTTACATAATCAAAATAATTTAATAATAGATATAAGAATAAATATTCTAAATGGGGGACATGTTAGATGGCCACACGAGGGAAAACCACTAAAAAGATTCTGTGAGTGTAGCAGGGCTAGATGGCTCTTTCCAAACACTAACCCTACACATGTCAGTTTTCACTATGGTTTTCTATAGGATAGCAATATATGGCAATCTGCAGTCTTTCCTTACACTTAGGTAGCATGGAAAGCCATAAAAATCTTGAACAAAAGCTCATCTAAATCCCACAGGGATCAACGAACGCTTTTCATTCCACTAATTTATTCTTGTTGCCATGTTCCCACCAATAACGTAGCTCCATTTTCTGCCTTTAAAACCCTTTTTCTGCCTTTACAACCCACAATTCCTCTATTCGCTCCAATGAAGGGCTAACGCTCGAAACGTCAGCTTTTGTAATCGTTACGGTGGCCAATTTACCATTTCAACTTTGTTGATATATCCAAATTATTTCTATAGGATTGTGTGCCCTAGGGCTTACAGGTCATATGATATCACAATTATTTCCTTAACCCTACAGCCTAAAGGCTGTGACTTTAACAATTGCAAACAACACAACATATTGTACTCTCCACAAGCCAGTACCAATCGTGCTTGGGTCCTATAGGTATTATAAAAATCATTGGGACACCAGGGTCATTTCTAACCCAACTCAAGGGGGTATGTGAAATATTTAAAACCTCTTTCATGATGTGTACTATAATACATTACAAACCTGAACCAAATAACTAGGTAGACAACATCAGGCTTTCAAAGTTTATTTTTGACAAATCCACAGTTGACAATAAATCCTCTGCTGTTTCCATAGTTATACAAGAAAGACAAAAATATGAAACAGAAGTGATATGTACAAATCCTCCATCTTTGCTCTTCTAAAATATAATTCACTATTCACAGAAATTACAAGGGAACTTGCTGATTGCACTGGTGGCTTATATAACATGCAGATGAAGAGAATGATATTTAAATTATCTACTTCTTAGCATAAGTATTTGTTTCTTAGCTTTACCCTTTAGTAATTGTATACCCTTAAGTTACTCCAACATGGGAGCACCATATTAGAGATTGAATACTTCTAAGAAAAACGATGTTTTTTAAATATCAAAGTTATCTAACTCAATTTGTAATACTATCAAAATCTTTAAACTAAACTGAAAATTTAAATACTAGCTGGAAAAAGATGTGTTTTCAAATCGAACCTGTCATATGGCAAAGTAGTACTCTGGACTGCTGACAAAAAAATGCTTTGTTGTAATCACTTATCAATTTAGCAGCTACTTAAGAGATTTTACAATAATTTTTACAATCATGTAGCTGCTGCCAAAATTTATTTACAATTTGATTTATATAATAATTGACATAAAATGGTTTTCAAAGAGAAATTTACTAACATATAAAGCTGTGGTAGAAAGGAGTTAGCAAGATGCAAATCTACATAAATTGATTAATTTTTTTCATTATACTTGCACACTGAATAAATTAAGTAAAAAGTTCCCTGCAGATAACATCAGGAAAGCAATCAAGAAATTTGAAACAAAATGGTTCAATTGTATAAGAGCCTACAGAAGGTAAATCTACCAAACTCTGGATTGTAAAGATTTTAGTGAGCTTTTTGATATTGTTCCATGTGTTTGTGCATAACTTTCAAATGGTGATCGACTTTGATTGGGATTTGGGACAGGTTTCCTTGCAGGTCTGTGTATTGTTTTAGCTGATGGAGGTCTTTGAGCTGGAACCTAAGAAGCAAACAAGGAGGACACTTAAATTCAAGTGACACTTATATGATAGTTTAAAGAGCCAGTAGAGAGGGCGACAAGATCAGGTTCTTATTCATGGCAAAACTAACGAGGAAAAAGACTGGAAGACTAAAATTTCACACAAACTAAGTAATGAGAGCTAAAAATAGAAAACAAGCAAATAAAACAGAAAGTTACAAGTAACAACTCTAAACAATGCAATGGCAAATTTTATTCAGTTTCATTCTTACAACTTTTGCTTAGATTAATCTGATCCTTTTACTCACTGAATGTATGAACAAGATGGGACTATGTTATTGTCAAGTAAACCGGTAATTTAAGTTAAAATACATTTTACAAGATATGGTGTTCAATAGAAAAGCATGTTCTCAAGACAAGCATGTATGGTAGTAGGAGTTCAGAATACGGGGTCAGATTAGTTTAAACTTACCAAGCGAGCACTTGTAACTTGTAGAAGTTTGTCAGCACTATTACTGCGTGTGATGATGGTGTTCTTTGGCTTGACTTGTGCAGATATGGGCCTTGCACGTCCTGCTGGGTTTTGCCTTGGTGGGGACATAACCTGTAAAAAGGGATAAAATTTTCTGTGATTTGAGGGTATACAACACAATGAGTAAGAGAAAAAGAGGTAAAGAATTATAAGTAAAAGCTGACTGGACAACTAAACTGTGCTTACACTGTCATTTTCTAAGCTGTGCCTTCTCACCATACTCTTTCCAGCAGATGGTGATCTTTGGTGTTGTATCTTGGTAGTTCTTCCAAAAGCTACAGTCACTCCCTCACTCCTATGGACAGGTGATTTGACTGGTGAGCTGTGTATGGGTTGGTGTACCTGTGTCATGCTTGAAGTATGGGACGTGTAGTTTTCAACTTGTTTGAGAGGCTGAGACTCCCTTTCCTGTTGCCTTGCTTGCTCAGCAGCTTGTGCATGTTTCTGCTTCTGATCTTGGAGTAAAATCTCCCTTCTTTTTCTTCTGATGGTGGTTTTCTTCTGAATGATACTCTGCAAAAAATCAAGAGAGAGGCTTAAGTTTAAGATGTATCATGAAGTTACAAGAAAAAGTCTCAATTCAAAAGTTCAAAGCCATCAAACTAACTTAAAAGTCATTTTAAAAGCAATCCCAACTCAAAAGTAGACATCTCTATGACACCAAAGATGAAATTTAACTTAATACCAACCTCATAAAGTTTAACACGATACTCCTCCACGCTTAACTGAACATCGTCATTCAGGGCAGGAATCACATCATAGTCCATTGATGGTTCTTCTTCAGGATTGTGGAATCTTGCTACATATGGATGACTCAAAGCCTGCTCTGCTGTCAGTCGCTTCTCAGGGTTAAACTGAAGTAATTTTTTCAACAGATCAATTCCATCTGGTGGTGCATTTGGAAGGATTTCCTCTATACTTTTCTTAGGTTTACAGGCCATTCTGTCTAACACTGATGAACTATACTGTGACTTGATGCTGTCAATATCTGTGGTATACAGGGGAAAAGTCATGTTAATGGAAAATTGTATTGGCTAATCATTGTAAGAAAAAAAAATTAAAATAATTTTCCTCCTTAGCAAAGGAATTAAAACAAAGGGTGTAACATTAGTTAACACTCTGGTAACCAGCCCACTGCAATTCCAAACTGACACAGAAATGAGAAATTTTGCCAATAGCAACATTACCTTGTCTAGAAGGAGTGGGGATTATTGTCATAATTTTCTCTATTTGATCTAAAGTTGATGTTCCTGGAAATATTGGTTTTCCTGCAACCATAATAAAGTTATTAATAATTAACACATAACACAGGAAAGGTAAGGATGATTTCTTTTTTTCAGTTTGTGACATAACCACACCCAAATCCAATTAGGTAGTTGAGATACTCTTCTACTGAGTGGAAGAGAAGCTTTCAACTGGATTACTGGTATTTCATATACATTCTACTGACTGGGATCATTTGAATGCCAACCAAAAGCTTTTGGATTGGGAATGAAGAAAATATTACCAGCCTCCTGCCTCCTGCCTCCTGCCTCCTGCCCTCGGTTTCTATTTCATATGAGCAGAGAAGGCAGAGGAGGTTTGCCATGCCTCTTGTAAAGACAAATAGATTTGGAAATTCATTCATTGTTAAGAGTGCAAGGGAAGCATTTAAGTGATTTTTAAGAGTAGACATCTTTGTAATTTTATTATAGTTATTTATAGATCATTTCTTATTTCTTACTTGTTAAGAGATGCAATTCAGTTTTTTAACTGCAATGTTTTCTTAATAAATACAGTCAATCAATCAATCAATTCAGTTAAGAAAAAAATATTGAGAGGAGAGAGTTGGGCATTTATGAAGGTCTTCAAGTGACAAATTTGGAACTTACCTAGGAGCATCTCTCCCAAAATACATCCTAGAGACCACATATCTACGCCCTTTGTATACCTGAGGGGAAGAAATGATAAAATACATTAATTTTTATAATGAAATGAGTTAACACTGCTTGAGATAGGTTTAGTAACATGAAGTTGAAGCTCTTCAACTTGAAAAATTAAGCGATTCTCTTGCTTTACCTCGGTGATGCCAGCAGAATTTCAGGAGCTCTGTACCACCGTGTTGCCACATAATCTGTTAAACTAGGATCACCAGCTTCTTGCGTCATACTAGTTACTGATCTAGCTAGGCCAAAGTCACACATCTGCGACATGAAAATTACTCAATTACATGTAGCAAAATAAAATTACTATGAATGATTTCTAGAATGGATATTTTTCATCTTTGCTCTTTTCGTTCCATAAGCCTGCTATCTCCCGTTTTACAGCTAAATATTCTCTTTGTGTATCAATAAAATAACAACAGTACTATGTCTGCAAAACAGAATAAATGCACCAAAAGAACATGCTCTAACTGGAAAATAAATCAATAATGATGGCCTTGAAAAGAGGGTACGAATCTGAAATTATAATTTATTTCCACTATCATTTGATAGCAGGAAATCTTGCAATGTTTGAAAACAATTTATGACTTACCTTGACGAAACACTCTGAATCCAGAAGGACATTACTTGGCTGAAAGAAAATGGAGAATACCTTGTCAGCTTGGTTTTTGACTCAATCACCGAGACTTTCTAAACAAATCCTGAGATAATTTTAATCCCACCAACTTTCAGTCTGATTAATACAAATTAATGAAGAGAGTTTGGTGCTCCGTTAACAACCTCTTCCTAATCTCATTCCTGTTTGCTGGATAATGTTTAAGAAGAGGTTTAACTCTAATTTTCAGCAAACTTTCAGCATACCACTCAGCTGTGCAAGAACATTCACAAAAATTGTACATCATCAGAAAGATGTGCTATGAATTCTAATCAAACCTTCTGATCTCTGTGTATGACATTTCCGGAGTGTAGGTACATAACTGCCCTAGATATCTGCAGCACAAATAATCACAATATTACAAACCATATAGGCAATATAATGTTAATGAAAAGGAAGGGTTCTCCCAATTTATGTCACAGAAGGAATCAATTATCATTAGAAGGGAAAATAACACCACCATCCTAAACATTCTAAAGATGTTTAATGTACAACTTGCCAAAAGGGAGAGTACAATATAATCAGTAGCCCCTAAATTCTTAAGTGGAGCCACATTTGTCCAATAATTTCTTAAAAATGACTAATTCATGATAAATGTTGTCTACTGATGTTAAACAGCTCCTCAATACTGAGATCATCATTTCCAAATATATCAAGATTTTAAATTTAATCTTGAAAATGATGTGTAAAGTTTAATTAGTACAAAATATTTTTATCAAGAGATTGAAAGCACAAAAAATTTAAATTAGACTTCACAATGACAGTTTTTTTCTAATGACCTCAGAACAATACAGAAAACTCTTGAACAATATTGATCATGGGTGAGAAAAGCACATCATGCTCGGTGCCTTTTTTGACAATAAATTAAGTTAATTAAAAGCTTCTGGGAAAAGATTTTCTAAGATCTTTAGTTATTTGAGGCACTTGGATTAATGTGAGTGTTCCACTTTGAAAATAATTAGCATGATGGTTTTCAAAGAAATTTGGAGGTAAGTTAATAAAATCAAACTTTGACAAGTAAAGACTTTTGCTTGTTATTAGGAATAAAATGCATAAAAAGTCGATGACATAACATTATGACTCCTTGGTGTCTTCTTTTGGAGAAGTTACCAGAATGTTTTCCTGTACACTAATTTATTAAGTTGAAGTACCTCACCTGATACATAATATATCTTTTGTGTATATCTTTAAGAATGTTTCCTTTCTTTATTACATTGTGAAGATCAGTATCTGTGGTTAAAAAACAAAAGTTTAAAAAACACACTCATCTAATTCCTAATTTTGGTATAAATGTGTTAATTGTATTGATTGATAATATTTTCTGTATCCTTTCATAGTTATCAGTGATGTGCTGTAAAGCTTACAGGTGCTAACACTAGGATTTGACCACAAAGCTGTGAAATGGAGTGCAAGAACGAAAATTTGAAATGTTATAAGGATGTAAATAAAAAGTTACATATCATTTTTTTTTTTTTAAGAAAAGTCCACTGTACATGTGTTTTTCGTTAATGCACTGAAAGTCATCATAATACTTGAAGAAAATTTGCAATCAAAATCAAACTGCACCCAAGAGTTTGACACCTGAAAGAAAGTTCATAAAATTGTGTCGCCCTGCTCTCGATGTGGAGTACCCCTAAAACTTGAAGAAATTTATGTAATAATTACTGACTCAAAATAGATCTAGTCAATCAAACTTGTTCACTGAATTACTATCACAGCCATATGTTCTTGTACCATTTCCAAAGGATTGACTTAATTCAAACATCATGAGAATTATAAATATTAAACTTTCAAAGCACACTACTCAAGTTCCAGCCATAGGTATGAAAACACACCAAATTACATAATATTGAAAATGCCAGAAACCAGACAGTCCCACAAAATGCCATATTGTTAATTTGATTTGCTTCTTTATATGTCACGAATTCAAGAACGTGGTGAATTGCACAAATTACCGTATGTTATCATTAACAACATGGCACGATGCTTTAAGGTTGTTGTACAAATTTCATTCCTTTATACATACAACGTTGTGTATTATTTTGGAGTAACTCATAGAATTGCCATTAGTTATTCGAATATCGGCTCTCAAACTAAAATACTCCACATTCTCAACTTAACTAAGAGAACTAGAACGTAAAAAATTACTCAATATAATCGAAGGAGGCCGAGCATGCAAATTACCAAAACACGATAGGAAAACAGACGCGATCCCATTTTAGCACAAACTAAACGAGTCGGCTATTGGCCCTACAAGAAATGTCTGTTTAAAGCAATATGTGCTGGAATATTCCACGGCTGGACTTAAAAAGAGATAAGTAAAAATGCCGATTTATTAAAAATGATGTTTTTATGCACATAAAATCATGGTTTCCACTAAGGGCTAAACTTTACTGAACAAATTCCGTGATTAAGATTCAAAACTCACAATTAATTCAAAAATTAACTTACCCATATATTCAAATACAAGGTAGATGTCTTTATCATTATCTGCTTTTATTACATTTAGCAGTTTTATGATGTTGTCGTGATCTCCAAATTCCTGGAATGAACACAGGACGCGGAAATCAACATTTGACGCAGAAAATGAAAGAGTACAGCGCTATTCAAATATAACTTCCTCTACGAAAACAAAATTTATAAGTTGTTGGAATTGACATACCTGAAGAAAACATATCTCACGAAAGGTTCTCTGAAATAAAAAGTAAAACACGATGATGAACAATAATTATAATTTAGTATTCTTTCGTACAGATCCAAATATTTCAGAGAAATAGCGTCCAAAGTACATAACGCGGCAAAATTAGTGTATAACACATACCTGAGCGTCAGTTTGGTTTCTAAAAGCGTCAAAAATCTTTTTGACAGCAACGACTTCTCCCGTTCGTCGATCGATAGCTTTCCAGACAATTCCATAAGCCTAAAAACATTGTGAAACACGGTAAGAACGAACACGCCGGCAATTCTATTACTTGCGGTGAAACATGGCGCGCATTGCGCCAAATTACAACGACAAAAGCCAATAACTTACTCCTTTTCCCAAACGTTTTTTGATTTCGTATTTCTTCGTTATGTGCGTATCTATTTCAGCACTCATGATTCAAAAGTTCGTCACAGAGGACGGAAGAACCCACTACGAATTTCGACTAACTATAAGACAAAGCCGAGTTTGCATTGTGGTTTAAAACAGAACTCAATCGATTCTTTGTTCTGATTGGTTTTCGTAAATGGTTTTTGATAAATAGTTGCTATGGCACCATTGGAGACCGTGCTGATGTCATGTCATCTATTTTGGACCAATTTCATCGTCATGTAATTTGAAGTTTGCAGGACTGTAGACTATCCTGTTAGCCCCAATATTTCTCTTGCGAATGGCGTATAAAATGCCGAGTAAGACATTTAAATAGAGGTTTCCTTTTAGGTGAATGACGCAGTTTATAGGGAAAATGCGTAGATTCACATTAGCTTACCAGCCCATGATAAACCCGACATCAAAAACTTGAGAATATTGATAAATCCTGAGGTCATGGGAAGTGTTCAGTGGAGCAAAACCAAATCATTTTTAAGTAATCTATTTTGTGATATCAGCTGTAATGAGGCTCACTAAATCTCGATTTATGTTTTAGTTGCATAATTCTATTTCGGAGTAACAAAAAGGGAACATTGGTTTTGTTTTTGTGTTCAAAGTTATGACATGAGTCTCGACCGTCTAGTGGATAGCTTAACACGGGGAGATCACATGTCAACATAGCGATCAATAAGGCTCTACGTCGTTCACTTGCATAAAAGGCATCATCAACTTTTCATCTCTCTGACTCTCCATGAATTGTGTTCGTGAATTTTTTGTAGTAAGCATCTAAAGCCAGCTGAAGTGCATCAATATAGAGCATTCTAATCTCGGTTGTGACGTCACAGCCCTTATACACATATTAATGTTGTTACTAATTGAATTTATTTTTTGATTCAGGAAATTATAACATGCTCCTCTCTGAGCAGAAGATTCTTCTCACAGACAATAATTCTTTGTTTCATTATCTTGTGGAAAGATCGCCGAGTTTGGCTTAACTGCACCGAACGAAGAAACTTTACGTGCAGATATATTACTATTGGTGAACAATTCTATATTTGCCTCAGTTATCTTAAGAGCTAAAATAGAGAAGGCCGCCACGAGTACCTTAAAGTTGAATTCTTCCACGAGTCATAAGACAGGTATGAAATCCTCTAACAAGAAACATTCATAGCTCACTCGTGTGGCATAAAAAAGGCTTAGTCACTTTGATATATGAAAAAAACAGCCAGTCGAAGTGGAACTCTCTCGTACACTCTACCAGTCTCAATTGATGTATTATTCTGTAAATCCCAACTGCTTACTTCTTTCTACCAACTGATTCCACTATCCTAAGTTTTAATGAAATGTGAAAGAATCAATAAAATTCGCTCCGGTTTTTTTGCGTAAGAGAATAATCTCAGATATATTGCGAAACTTATGATTCAGAGAAAATAAAACGCCACTTCTTCCTCATTGCTACTATGCTCAAGAATACTTATCTTATTTATATCATCAGTGCTTGGGACTCGAAAAATTTAGTGACGGCACTAAAATGTGTCTATCAATATTATAGTTTACTGTATTATTGCTGGCTACGAGCCCGCCGATCATCTAGGCTCCAGCGGTTAGACCTAACCCTAATTTGAGGCGCCTTCGGCACCAATTGGGTGCCTTTTCTGTCTGGTACACGACCACAAAACGCGGCTAACTTCACTACGGTGTAAGTCCGAGTGCAAAGAGCTTGGGATCATAAACAGTGTACCGTGGGGTAACTAAGGAGACATGTTCCCTCTTTAGACAGCGTGGGCAACTAGGCTCACCAGGTACAACACTGAAATACTTTTAATTTCCCTACAGTTTTTTATGTCTAACCGAAAACTCGATATTAAATTCAGAGTTTCTACCATTGACACAAAACCCACTGATAGACTCCAATCTGTGCTATTTTCAAAGAAAAATATGTGGTCTCTGTTTTAAATGGAATTGAGACGACCGTCACTGAGAAATAGGTATCAAAAATTGACAACTTGTGACAAAAAGTGACAAATTTACTTAATGTGCAGTTATGGCCATACGTTTGTTGAGCAATTCATTCTTGACTTAATGCGAACAAATTTCGAAGAAAAAAAAAACACAAAACCTGAGACAAGGAACGAAAAAACAGTGTCGTTTTGCTGTTTACCAGATATGCAAAAACTGTTCAATACTCTGGCCAAGTTTTTGTCAGATACTACAAGTAGTTATTGATAGTTTCACGAGAAAGAAAAATAGCCAACCAAGTCAACATCTGCTATGACAGAGATGAATTTCAGGGCCCATGACTGCTTATTCCATTAAGTCGGGGCACTCCTTGGAAAGAATTCTTTTCATGCCTTCAAAATGAGCGTCGCAGAATTTTTGTCTTTCGCCTGGTCCGTCAAGTTGTTGATGTACAAGCTTTGCTAATTCGTCTGGTATTTCAAACAATTCTTGTCCAGTCGACATTGCCAGGACCTAAAGAAAGCATAGAAAATATCGTTTAGTTCCCATCAAAGACTCAGAAAGGGTCCTTCAACTTCCACTTGGCGCGCACAAATTTGGTAAGGCTGTCACCTAATGAAAGTGTTATGCTAATCTACGAAATTCATTTCTTTAATTTGCTGAAAGGTTCTCTCACTTAATAAAAGGAAAACAATCAATAACCAATTTATTCTGGACACTAGTGTCCTAACTCCCCGAGCTTCTACTAACCAGAGCTTATTGTCATTGGCTCTTAGCTGTTTTAAGAATTAGAACGTTATTGTTTCAAGCCTCGCACTACACCGAAGAAAGAGTTTATCACCTCTGTAGTCTGATGCCCTTATACATATGGTGCCAGTCAGAGACTACATCATGGATCCCTGCTTTTGTTAAAGCAAGAATAAACCATAATAATCCGGCACATCTCACCTGATTCATACAGGCACGCTCTAAATAATAAGTATGATCCATAGCTCTTGCAGCATTGGGAGCCACCACCAGTACCCCGTGATTACACATAAACAGTACCGACTTGTCCCCTAGCTGCTTTGCTGTTCGCATGCCCTCTTCCTCGTCAGTACTAAGCCCACTGTACTCTCGATCGTAAGAAATTTGGTTGTAAAACAGACAGGCGTTCTGGTGGTACATTCCAAGCCTGGGATTTTTTAAGGTTCCTAAAATGAAGCAAGAATCAACGACTAAAAGGAATGAAAAACGATTCGACTACACGGAGGGAATTGGGGTGTCCTCGTTCCAACGATGTTATGGGAAATTTATGGTAATTTGGATAGATACCTAGGGCTGTGCAGTATGGTGGATGTACGTGGAAGGCGCAAACAGCATCTGGTCGAGTTCGATGAACTCCCATGTGAATTGTCGAGGCAGCTGTATCTACTTCACCTTCTCCATCGACCACTTCGCGTTTCACATTTAAGCCGACAAATGATGAGGCTTTAACCTTTAAAACAAACAAATAGGAATCAGAATAGAAAAACGACCGTGAAATTTAGCCTTATATACAGCCGATCCCGAAATATCTCAACCCCTTGTCCGATGTTGACTCAGCTTGGGGCTTTTGGTTTCAATTATTCTGAACACCAAAAGAGCTTCGAAATATCATTAGAGGGGTACTACTGGTATTAGTTAGCCTGGCCAGTATCCTCTCCACGAGGAGAGTGGGATTTACTTAAGAAGAACTCCTCACATTTAGTTAGAAGACACGAGACAGACACCCCACCAAAGGCAGGAGTGCAATGAAAGAAATCTATCGTTCATCTAAGGACAGTGGAAGCTTTACTACCTCGCTCCAGTGCAGTCCATATGGGATGATTAACATCACCTCTCCGTCTCCGCTTGCTGCAGGAGCCATTATACTCAAATGATTACACACCCCTTCGTGTAAGTTGTACTTTTCCAAAATGCGATAGGAAGCTGCTAGATCAACTCGGCGTCGCCAATTTTCGGCCCGGGCTTCTTCAGCTAGGGGAGTTTTAGATATTGTGCTGCTCAGCGGCCTGCCTGCTGAGATAGCAGTTCTCGGGAGGCGGCTGAATTCAGTCAGTTCGGGTGATTGAAGGAAGCGCCAAGGTTTAGGAAGAAATCGCAGCCCTGCCGCCATATTTTGCATTTCTAATTCAAGCTATTTATAAAACAAAAAAAGATATATTGTTACACCTCCAAACCCAACTAAAGTACGTTTTCCAATTAAAGGATATGGCCATTAGAGAGGCCTTCTAAGGGGGTTTTTGATGTCGCTCTGTCGCTCGTTTGCCGACCCACCTGTCACTTGTTTGGTAAGGGACAAATATCGCTGTCGCTTGTTTACTATAATACAATTATTGTCACCGTCTTACTAAATTTATCGGATGCAATCCGTAACTTGTATAATTTACTTTTGTTAGTGCTCGTATGCGAAGATCAACAGTGTACGTATAAAGGCTGATAGTTTCTAAAGAAACTGTTTGGGGCTGCGTCGGTGGGGGGTAACGAAATAATTTGAATATATCAACAAAGTTGAAATGGTAAATTGGCCACCGTTACGATTATAAAAGCTGACGTTTCGAGCGTTAGCCCTTCGTCGGAGCGAATAGGGGAATTGTGGGTTGTGTGTGCTTTTAAAGGCAGAAAAAGGAGCTACGTGATTGGTGGGAACATGGCAACGAGAAAAACACGAATAAATTAGTGGAATGAAAAGCGTTCGTTGATACCTGTGGGATTTAGACTGCCGGTTTGAAAGATGAGCTTTTGTTCAAGAGTTTTCCGGCTTTCCGTGCTACCTAAGTGTAAGGAAAGACCACAGATTGCCATATGTTGCTTAGAATGATTAGGTAAATTAAAACGTCTAGCGACTGGTTTCGATGTGTCCTTGTCATTCCTCTCCACGTCGCGAAGGTGTTCTCGGAATCGGTCACCTAGTCTTCTGCCTGTTTCGCCGATGTAAATCTTTTTGCAATAAGTGCAAGTTATGCAATAGATTACATTGGCGGAGGTGCACGTGANGTTGCAAAAGAGTACGCACACAAGAGGCGGGTCAACAGCAAGATTATATTGATAAGAGCACATGGTAACATTACCGCTGCATACTACGCGGGCTCACAACAAACGGACAGTCAATACAGAACATCTCCATACTATAACAGTAAGGCGTTCCATATGTTACAGATTCTTACAAATGAATAAAGGCTGATAGTTTCTAAAGAAACTGTTTGGGGCTGCGTCGGTGGGGGTAACGAAATAATTTGAATATATCAACAAAGTTGAAATGGTAAATTGGCCACCGTTACGATTATAAAAGCTGACGTTTCGAGCGTTAGCCCTTCGTCGGAGCGAATAGAGGAATTGTGGGTTGTGTGTGCTTTTAAAGGCAGAAAATGGAGCTACGTTATTGGTGGGAACATGGCAACGAGAAAAACACGAATAAATTAGTGGAATGAAAAGCGTTCGTTGATACCTGTGGGATTTAGACTGCCGGTTTGAAAGATGAGCTTTTGTTCAAGAGTTTTCCGGCTTTCCGTGCTACCTAAGTGTAAGGAAAGACCACAGATTGCCATATGTTGCTTAGAATGATTAGGTAAATTAAAACGTCTAGCGACTGGTTTCGATGTGTCCTTGTCATTCCTCTCCACGTCGCGAAGGTGTTCTCGGAATCGGTCACCTAATCTTCTGCCTGTTTCGCCGATGTAAATCTTTTTGCAATAAGTGCAAGTTGTGCAATAGATTACATTAGCGGGGTGCACGTGAAGTGATCGGTGGTCAGTGTACGTATAACTTTGCGTTTCTAATAATGGTCACAGAGATCGTTATAGTGACAAAGACTAACCCATACTTGGTGTTTTGCACTGCGGGTTAGCGTGCTACTGTAGTAGAAGATACACCAAGAAAAATACCGTCCACGGGATCTACCAGTTGTTTTGAACTAGTTTCAATGCGTAATTCCACACAAGCCAGCAAGTCAACTAAAAGCAAACGAATACACGTGAGTCGACTAAGCACCATTCTTTCAAAATTCACAATTCTTAAGGTAAAGATATTCGATTAAAAACTACCTCTATATATTTTAGATATACTTACAATTCTGTAAGGTGCAATCCCGTTTAAGACAGGCTATTTTCTATTTGTAGAAGCACGATCACACTGCTTCAAAAACAGAATTCCCTACTTTTTTATTTCCGATTGATTTCCCCCGATCACGAAGCTAAGGGGCTCGCTCTCGTCTCATTGGTCCAGCGCTAATGTGGTTAAAGGATTATATTCGATGACAAAGGAAAACAGACGCGCGTGTGCTGTCTTAGCCACAAGTATCTAAAATGAAGCACTTGTCAACGGCGTGCAAAACACTTGGTTTAAAATCACGCTTCTTGTTCGTGTTTCATTGTCGATCGGTGGCCAAGCTTTCGTACCTCTCTCCTCAGTCTCGTGCTTACATTTACACAGTCATACAGGAACACAATTCTTGGAAGTTTTTTAGTTGATAAACGTACTGTTGATCGTTTGAATAACGAGCTCGACTAAGGGCCGATTCAAACGTCGTGCTGTCGTCGTCTGGATATCAGCTGATCAAATATGCATCAACGCAAATGAAGTTCTATTTCCGAAGCACATCATATCGCACTGGGACACCAGCCGTGACGGAGGTCGTCGCATATTTTAAACGAGGAGGGCTGGTTACGGCCAACTTACCGGCCAGTACTCCCATTTGCGTCCACCCTTGAGGTGTGACGAAGAGTAGCCTTAGAACAAGATTTTAAATGTTTCCTTCATTTATCGAAAGTGACACGTAACCAAACAAGACCATTAACGTTTTAAAAGTAAAACTATGCACTAAATTCGCCTCGCCTCAGGGATGGACGCAAAGTGGTAGTAGTTAATCAATTGAGTTTGGTGACGACATAAGCGCGACGAAAGAACCAACCAAATGTGTTGAGTAAGTTATAATTCAAGCCTCGTTGGTGGACGAATACTTCTTCTTCGGGAAGTAAATGTAGTAGACAGTGCGATAGAGTCAGCAAAGAAAAAACTGTTTATATCATCGTCGAGGCAGTCTGCTTCCGCTATGACGAGATCTGCACCATTGTCGTCACCTTCAATGCAAAGATCCCTTGCCTCCTTGAAAACATTCACCACTCCTTCATACACTTCCCCGGTTAGCAGTAATACTTCGCTAGAAGTTACTTCCAAGGAGTCAAGAACCAATCTCACAGCCTCTTCGGGTAAGTCAACCTGATGCGCTATTTCAAAAAGAAAAATATTTTGTTCGGAGGGAAGGTAAATGTTGATCTTTGGCAAATGTTCTACGTGTTGGTCTTGATAAATATCATCAGCTGAAACTCCAAGATAAAAAGTACTATCTCCCGTGATTTTTCTGTTCCAAGACGACACGGCTTAAACTCCAATCCCGATATGCTGTTTTCCTCCCAAACTGTTAATCACCGATCTTCCTGTAATACCGGCGATGATTGGTTTTATGGCCAAAACAGTGTGGGAGGAAAACAGCATATCGGGATTGGAGTTTAAGCCGTGTCGTCTTGGAACAGAAAAATCACGGGAGATAGTACTTTGTTGACAAAATCAAATCTTTTCTGACCTTTTCTATTAACACGCCGGTTTTAGGGACACGTCACACTCGGTACTACTAACATGAGATCTGGATTTTTGTCAAGTTAGCCATCATGCTGTGCGAACTCTTCCCAATGTTGCTATGCAAGAGCCACTCCAAGGCATCTCTTTCAACTTGGCTTTGCCGGTTTATTCACTGCTGTATTTTCTTTATGATGTAACGCTCGCTGCATACCAAATATTCGATACCAGCGATACCGAGGTCGGATCAAAAAATATCGATACCAGCGAAGAGTATCTATTCTTTCAATAATGCACGTGACCTACCCGCGACTAACCGCTGACAAGTAGCCGACTCTGGGCTCAAGATCGTGCATGTGCGCATTTGTGTGCAATGTAGGATTGCCGCAGTGTAGAGGTCAAAGTGGCGGCTTCTTACAGTAAAATTGCCACAGAATCCAACATTGTGGTGTTATTCTGAACTACATTGATTGTAGTTCAGAATAACACCACAGTGTTAGATTATGACGGTAATTGGAACCTGTTATTATAGTACAAAGAAGCCTTCCGTATGCCACAGAACCTCGATATAACGAACCAATTTACCCAGTCCCTTGGCACTTCGTTAAATCGAGGTTCCACTGTATAGAGAACTGAACTAAAAACCGTACGAGGGCACAATTAGTAGAGGGCAGAGTTAGTTTAGCCATGTGACTTGCTATTCGTTTCAATGCATGACATCACAGTATGGGTATCGAATCGATTTGACAAAGCCTTATCGGCCCATTCTCAGTAAACAGTTAGCTTCAAGGTGTGTTTCGCGCCTTGAGGGAAACGTTCTGGCCAATCAAATCACTTCCACAATGTCACGTGAGAATGGGAGTGATTTGAAACACGCGACCAGGCCCTGTCCAGTCGTCAGTTGGATTGTACGTGAATGGTAATGCCGTTGACGATACGTTGATGAACTAGAAGATAGCTGTTGTTCGATTTCTGGAAAGATTTTGTCACATTTTTTTCGTTGTTGTAGAAGCGCAGGTCTTACTTGTAGTATCTATATCACGTTTAAATAAACCACTGCCAGGTAAATTTGACTCAGAGAAATGGCTTCTGCAGTATCTCAAGGTGAGCGAAAGTTTCCAAACTTAGATCTTTAATGTGCCAGAATGTTGTATTATCTTGTTAATCGGTTGTAAGCGGGCTGTATTTTCTGTTCCATACTCTTAATTCATTATGTTATTCTCTGAACAAGCAGTCAATTCTACGAGGAATAGCGTGGCATTCGAAGTCTTCTTGAGTCCCAAAGTGCAGAATGCAAGAAAGCCGCGACTAACTCCATTGAAAGGAAAAGAAAATTTAAACATACAGCTGCTGGAAGAAAAACAGCTAGCCGCCGAAAAACGAAGAAAGGTAATAGTTCGTTATAATTTTCTATTTTATAAGAAAAGGCCTGACACAAACAGAAATTAGGGTAATTTAATTAAAGCTTTCATCCATCTCCTGTCATCAGGATTTTTCAATGGTCAGTTGGCAAAAACACTGAAAGTTTGCCAACGGTAATACTAGCATGTTTACAACGCCGTTGTGTTAAACAGGAGCTTTCAATGCTTGCTTCTTTTCGGATTTAACAGAGTACATTACACATTTTTCATTTTTGATCATCTGTATTTATTTATGTACTTAACTCCTACAATCAAATATCTTGTATCCCTGGGAACCTCAGAGGAGATCAAAGCAGTAAGGGCATTTTTTTATCTGTCAAAAAGTTTAAAAGAACTGAAATGATTTTGCAGGTAATAAAGAGTTGTGTTGAAACTTAAAAGCCACATTCAGAATTACATTTGTTTATCTTATCTTTACAACAGAGTATGGAAGGTGAATTTTTGGCCAAAGCAGCAAGCAGAAGTGAACATGTTGTTCAAGTTCAGCAGAATAAACAGCAGACAGTTGCAGAGAAAAGCAGAATGGCAGAGGAAAAGCTCAAGCAAAAGATGTGTACACATTCTGAAAACAAGGAAGCACAGATTAAAGCATTGTACAGCCGCCTTCATGCGAAGGAACAACACATCAAAGAAGTGCAAGCAAACCTGCGAGAGATAATTGCATCATTTTCTAAAAAAGCAGAGGAGAAGATTCAACAAAAGGAAGCTGTAAGCAAGGAAAACCTTGAATTACACCGCAAAGCCCAGGTGGAACGCTGGCAAGCTCATGAAAAGCGCATTCAAGAGGTATTGGCTACTTTGCAAGAGAGTGTTGAGAAGCAATCCAAAACAGCTGAGGTTAACCTGCAGCAGAAGATGGAAACTACTGCAGAGAAGCGAGAAGCTTTGATCCGTTCACTTCAGGAGAGACTGCAGTTTAAGTCTCAGAAGATTGAACAAGCACGGCAACTTGTAGATGCTCTTGTTCAGGAACAAAGCAAAGTTTGCAAACAGAAGTTACAGCAGAAACTGGAACAATCAGAGGAGAAACGCAATGCACTGCTCAGAGCTTTACAAGAAAGATTGGAGGCACACGACAAGCATGTAGAGGAGGTTCACCAACAAGTTAAGACACAGAGAGCAGAGAAAGCTCAGGGTTAAAAACAGAGATTGATTCATGACCATCACTTGTAGCAAAAATCATAATTAATACTCTTCCTTAAATATCATGGCTCTGAGATAGTCGTTTTCAAAGGATTTTCACACATTAAGTTGTTAAATTTGGAACTTCACCTGGAACTTGAGTTAAATGTCAATGATAATTGTTCATGAAACAAAATTAAGATATTATTGTCTATTTTTGTGTTTGACAATAAGGATTTCAACACAGATCCAAGGATTCTGTTATGATTAAATTTTGGGAAGAAATTTTGTACACTTCTCCATAAAAAGAGTTGAAATTGTTGAGACATTCTCTGGTGCTTTCTTGCCTAAGCTGGTTGATCATTCAAAATTGACAGAGTTTTGGTTCTTTTACCATGATTTTGCCAAGCACTGGACTTAAAATATCGACAAAACAATACCTGACCCTCCTAAAAAGCTAGTAATTATGTCCCTTTTTCAGTGACAAGTTATTTACTACAGAAGTATGTTTATGAAACAAGAAAACAAGAGTAACTGATTGCATGCCTCTGAAATTAGGATGCCAAATGATTGAAAACACTCTTTCATCCATCGAGAAATAATTGTCTGTCAAGAAATGTTTTAAATAGTCCAGAAGTATTATAAAGCATTGAGAAAACATTTTCATTTGTCGAACAATGTTTCTAAAAGATGATATTTATTGTCAATTGAGAATTTTTTTGGTTAATCAAAAATGTCTTTGTTGATCAAGAATTTTTTTGTTGCATGAGAATTTTTCTGTCAATCGAGAAATGAATGAGCTGCCACAAGAGCTCAAAACACATCGGTAGTATGGTACAGGGAATCAGTGGACTTACCACCAGAACTAAAAAAAAAAGCCTGAGGGTAATTAAAACTTGGTGGAGCAGTGACAGGGCTTGATTTCCTTCAGTGTTGCAACTTATGTCATGATTTTTATCAGTTGAACTTCTGAAAGTGAAACGAAGAGTTTGGTTGACAAAAGTTTTCCTTATTTAGGTGCTCTTCTATATTTACAATAGTTTACCATTTGAGATCCGGAAACTGAACTGAACTCCCGAGTATTATACAGGCAAAAAGTCAACAAACACTTTTATTTGTAGTTTCATGGGACCCCTTTTTTACTGCTGTATTTTCCAGTATATACAGGACGCCTTTGATAACAGTACTATTTTTAAGTAATTGGTTTATCCTGTTTAAATATTCGTTTATTATTATTGTATGCAATATATAAAATGGACTCTCGTCTAACGCAATAGCGATCACGCGGCTCTGTGAAATCGTTGATTTCGAACTGAGTACCCGTTCTGAGTTTCATTTCCCTTCGCCACCGGCGTAAATCGCAAAACGACAAGTTCATCATTTTTAGCCGTTATTTCACCGGAGGGTTAGCTATTTAACCCTGCTAAGTGATGGGTTAAAATTTAACCCGCTGTTTAACCCGAGGTTAGTGTTAACCTTCCTTCGAACAACGCGACCAAAATTTTCCACCAAGGTCAGGCTGAATGTTTAATTAAAAAAAAAAAAAAAACATTCTTCCTGCAGACTTATCCCATAAAACTTATTAAAAGGTTCATAAGAACATTTTCGATATGAATTACAGCAATCTTCCAGGGGATTTTTTTGGCCATGAAGTTACCGTATGTAAACAATGACGGAGAATCTATCGCTCGGGTCTCGTAAATGCAAGAAATGCGTTCGTTTTTGCTTCTGATCGGTCTGTTTTAGCTCTTTTTGAATAAAAGGATATATTTCTTAGTTATTTTTCTCTGCATTTTATTAACAATTTTGGCCAAGAGGATATAATATCCAGTTCGTATTCTCAGGAGTTTATAAACCCTTGCTTTGGTAGCACGCGATTGTCTGATAATCCCGACGAATCGGCATATTGACATCTTAAATGTTTATTCCTGGGGAAAAACCATGGGAGTGAAACTATCAATTGACTTCCATTGAAAATTGGACAAAGGAAACGAACAGGTGGGATTGTATATCGCAACTGCAATGGAAACTGAAGATGTCATGAACGAAACGTTGCCGCGAAATGTAAACAACAGATTTTCTTCAATTTACGTAACTTGCACTTGCCGGATATCTTCAGTTAGCACGTTCTCCTTCAGTTAGCCCATTACAGAGCGAGAGAAGGTTGCAAACATAAAATTTTTAAAAAATTTTGAAGCTTTTTGAGACTCTACAACAAAAAGGATCGAGGCTGTGTGAAACGGAAGGGAACGGAAGGTGTAAGAATTTATTACGAACTTCAGCACAAACCCACGCATTAGAAGCAAAAGGTTTTCGTTAAAATTTTGTACCTTTCAGGATGTCCACGGTCATTTTCACATTCCCACATAGATAAATGATCACCTCGACCCATCATAAAAAGCAAAAAGGTTTGCAAACATACAAATCTAAAGGAATTTGCGAAGCTATTGGACTCTGCATCTCATACAACAACAACAAAGATGTAGTGTCAACGGGACAAAGGGGGTTTTACTACTGGGGTCCAAGGGAATGGCATGGGCTAGCTGAGAATATTAAGAATGTGAAAGAAATCGATAGTTTTAAGAAGACTCTTTTTAAAAATATGTTGTATAAGAAATAATATTAGATTAAATTGTTATTGTAAATAAGTTTAGTTAGTTTACTGTGACTGACAAGCCCTGTTAAAGGGAGTTCCAATAAAGTTTGTATGTAGGTATGTGTGTGAGCAACATGCCGCTCGAGCGACCTGGTACTGGCTCGGCCAATCCCGGCATTCATTCTGACCCCAGTTTTAGTAAAGTCGCGTACTGCGGGATCAACCTGGTTCAGGTTATTATTTAGTTCTTATTAACCAAGATGGAGGTCGTCAGTACAGACCGAACGCAGTGAGGTCTGTACCAGCGAGCGAGGTCAAGATTCTTCCATTCAGACCGACCTAGCTCGGTTAATAAGATGTTTATTATATGGCTGTGTCTTATATGCCAATTTTTTATATTCTTTGTACCTTTTTTTTTCTGGATCGGTCTAGATGCCGGTCTAGATGGGAAAATCTAGACCGCTTTCAATATTGATTTCAGCCAATCAAATTCGTGAATTTGGTAGTTCCCAGTCCTTGTGAGACACAGCCATATAAAGTCTTCCGACTGACCCGAGGAACTTTTAGATACCATGAATCTAGACATAAACATGCATGGAGACTTAAAGAAATGTACTGAGTGTTTTCAGTAACAACGCCCTACTGCTATTTTCCACCTGTTTTAAAAATATCCGTAGGAAACTGGGCAGTTCATATCCATCCAACTTAGTTTAAGCTGGGTGGACTTGGACTCATTATGCGAGGTGCAGCCGAGTGTGTACCTTAAATCATTAAATTTTCCAGTTTCCATGTTTAACCGTTGCACGCATTCATTTATTGAGAACTTATTGTTAAATATTGTTGTAAAAAACTTACGTTGTAAGGTTGTTTGGACCTCAATTAGGTACGATTGCTCAATCGGGACAGCCCCTAGTCTCCTTCGCAGCCGTTGTTTAGGCTCGTCACGCAACGCTCCCTCCCCCACCAACCGGCTGCTTAAACCCGAGCCACATTCCTTTCCTTGGTTTTAGCCAATCACAATTTCGCTCATATAATTCTGAGCAAGTCCCGCCAAGACTAGTGGTCCAATCAAAACTCGTGTACTATCAGCGGCCCATTGAGCGGAGAAAATGACAACTCTCGAAGAAGCTTTTGTTTCGATCGCTTCCAAATTAAAAATTCCTAGTTTAAAGGATCCCCAGAAGCTGGCAATTGAGAAAATTCTTTTGGAAAAAAAAAAAGATGTATTGGTAAACCTGCCTACAGGGTTTGGAAAATCCTTGATTTATCAGGCTCTTCCACTCGCGATCACATCAAAAATCTTGCTGGGCATATCGTTGTTATTGTTTCTCCGCTCGTAAGTCTTATGGAGTATCAGGTCAATTACCTGCAAAGTATTGGAGTCAGCGCGGTAAACATTAGTTCTCAAGCAGAGATATCGATTGACCACCCTAGTATCGAGTATGGAAAATATTCGTTAGTTTTCGGCTCACCAGAAGCGTGGCTTAAGAATGATCGTTGGCGATCGATACTAGGAAATGATGTATACCGTGCGATGTTATGTGCTGTGGCTATCGATGAAGTTCATGTTATAAGACAGTGGTATGTCAAGAACCAATTCCTTACTTCTCTTAACGTGCCATTTTAGCTTCGTCTTATATTAGTTAAGTTTATATATTTTCCTTTTAGAATTAAGTCGAGTGGTAAACAATAGGCATGTTTTTTCACTTTCTCGAGGACATTTCCAGAGCAGATGGAATTTATCAGGTCTGTACGGGATTCGAACCACTGACCTCCGCGATACTAGTGCAGCGCTCTACCAATTGAGCTTACAAGGCAGCTGGGAGCAGGTCGTTAAGTTGATATTTTTTTCAGGTCTGATTTTCGCTATTGCATAAATAGCGCTCTCTACTGCGAGGATCGTGCATCATACGTATCTATAACCGCAGTTCAAAATATATGAACTTCATATATTCATCGTAGCTTGTAAAAGTGTTACATAACTCCACACAACGAAAGTGTGACGTCGTTCGACTAACAATATCCAATAGCGCAAAGGTGCATGGTATTGTAAACTTACATCAGCCACATCCAGTCCTCTGCGTCTTAGATCTTCTACATCATCCACTTTACAAGCATCTACATACTCTGCGGTCAGCACACGCTGAAAGGCAATAATGGGGATTCTGAGATTGCAATAATTTATCTTTTCAAAATAGCTTATAACCTTACACCTTGAAATCCAGGTTGCAACAACGGAGCCTCGTGTTCTAATTTTCGCGAGGAGAGAGTGGCCCTTTCAAGTTCTCTGCTGACTATTGAAGGGTTCTGTCCTGGTGTACCGGTTCACATGGGAATTACCATTGTTCTTAG